AATAAAAAAATAAAAAAATAAATAAATAAATTAAAAAAAAAAAAAAAAAAAAAAAAAAAAAATAAAAAAAAAAAAAAAAAAAAAATATATAAATAAATAAAACACCTACAAAAAAAAATATAAAACCAAAAAACCATTTGTGGTGGCGTCAGAAGTGTAACTACCCTGATGTTTCTAAGATTAGCCTCCTTCAGCCAACTCCATCGGCTCTAGTGCTTTAGGACACCAACAAGGTCACAAACACTAGCCCCCCCAGCCAATGTACTGACAACCCAACATAACACATACGCAAACAAACAACACATACAAAAATGTCAACCCATGGTGGACAGGCCACCGAACTTTCAAACCTCCTCTCTCTCTACACCCGCATCCTCTTCCTGAATTTCATCTCCCCATCCCTCTACCTCCCCCATCCTTTCCATTCCCTATGGACATCAATCCAATCCAATCCAATACATAATAAACACAAATAATAATGAGTATGTTATAATGCTCTATTTTGTTATATATCATATAAATACATTGCCCAATGTTATCAGTTACATTCAACAATGCCCAAAAAATATTTTTTTTAGGGGGAAAGTTTCTTTTTTAGGTTTTTTGTTTTTTTCCTCCTCTGTTTATTATTTGAATTTGTTGTAACCTTTACATCCTGGAGAGTGCATATCTGTCCATAACTAAGTGAAGACAGAAATAAATTGGTCAACAAATAAATCAGTCAACTCTCAGAACTTAGGAATGAATTTTTTTTGGCCGATTTTTTCACATATTTCACTATTTTCTTTGTTTCTTTAGGTTGTTTTGATGATTAGGGACCAGATTAGTGCTTTTTTACTTATATAAAGTATACCCTAAATATATCCCCTAAATCATTATAATTATTATTATCTGTATTTTGTTTTGGGGGATTATTTTTTCTTGACTTCATTTCAACACATACTGACCAACAACTTTCACATATTCGACTACGAATGCCAAATAATGTTTATTAAAAGATACAAGTAAATTCATGAAATTAGAACTGCCTTATTCATTGTTGATAACTACAACTTCAATTATATCTATAACTAGAATTTAACTTCCTTCAGTTTTAAAAAAATCTAGTTTTTGACCGGTTCTCACCATTTTTACATAGTGTGCACAGCTGTCTGTTCTACAATCCCTATAGAATTGATTTTTTATAAACTCTAAACGTTTGGAGTTGTACTTTTTTGTTGTCTAAATTTGCGCATATTTAAAATGCCATAGACAAAATTTTTTTTTATATTTTTGCAGCCGATTTCAAAATCTAAAGTTTTCAATATTCAATTTTAAAATAATTGTTATTTTCCTGTTTTTCAAGTTACATTGGTATCATTTAGACAAAGTTGGAGCATTTGCCTACTAGATTATGCACAAAACACTTGAAAGTTTTTAAAAAAATTGAAAACACCGAGTTCAATGTCACTTATATGAAGTTTTGCGCAGTTTAGGGGTTAGCGATTCTAACATGAATCTTCAATATTCATTATGTTTTTCTTCACTGTTGAGGGAAGATGAAAAAATTAACTCTCCAAAGTTCATTTTTACATTTTATTTTAGTCTGACACTTAGGGAGGCATTTCACACGGTCACTCCTTACATTCTCAAAGGCTAAATTACCATGCTTTTGCACAAACCTATACATTATTCTCTTTGGGTGAGGGGGTACAGAACAAGTGGATGAATGGCATTACAGAGGATATTAACACTTTCGCCCGGGCATGACGCAGCATTGCGTCATCCGTTTACTGTCGGTAATTCCGGGGATGACGCAGTATTGCGTCATCCACTTTAAATAATCGCCAAAAATCAGGTTTTTATCCGATTTTTTTGGGACTGGTTTTAAAATGCGCGCCGATGTCTTCCCATTTCCTTCGTTGAGCCAAGCCGCCAGAGGGCCCATTGTTTTCGCTCCACTGTTGTGACCAATGTCGCCTCCCCTCGCATCTCAAACGTGTGAACATTTCGGCTATTTTTTCCGTGGCTATATTTCTTACTGCGGCTTTAGAAACTATCTACGCTTACTCCACGATGGATAGTGATCATGAACAAGGCCCTTCCAGGAAGAAAATTGCGAAAGAAAGGCTTGAAAAGGACAGGAATTGGGAGTGTAGCTGGAAGGCGTCTGAGCACTCACTCGCGGCTAACGCATGTCCCGTCTTCAACTCGTCGGCGGTTGGAGCGTGACCAGGTTTTTTTATTTTATATGCTAATGTTCCTCTAGAGAATTCTATTGCAAACCCATTGAGACCAAAATGAAAGACCTAGGATAAAAATTGAGGTGACCAGAGTGAAAATAGTGAAAACATTTTATCGCGTTTGCGCGCTCCTGGGTAACTCGTTCGCACTTTCTCTGTTTGCTGCAGGTAATTAGCCGGGCTTTTGGAGTTTATATGCATTTAGTGCTGTAGAGAATTCTATTGCGAACACAATGATACCAAATTTAATCTCGTAGGACGAGAATTAAGGTGACAAAGTTGAAGAGAGTATACACTTTTCAGAATTTACGCGCGCTCCTGTGACACCCTGGGTCCCATATCGCACAGTTGAGGGGTGGCGAGCGGGGTGCGCCAAAGTGTTAATAGAGTATAAAATGTGTCAACATGAACAGCTTATGTTCCTGCAGCTGCTTGTGTTTCTAAGGCAGGATTATTGGATCATGTCTCTGCATTGATTCGGGGACTTGAAGTGGGTAGGATGTTATGCGTTAACTGCCTGTTGATTGCTGGCCTTGACTTTTTGATGTGTAGCGCCTTGCTGATGTCCAGTCTTCTGTTGTCGATTATTTCAGTGAAATAATCGACATGTATAAAAAGCTGCAATGCTTTTATAATCGACATGTATAAAAACGCTACTCTTCAAAAAGTCAAGCCCAGCAAATCAACAGGTAGTTAACGCACAACATCCTACCCACTTCAAGTCCCCGAGCCAATGCAGAGACATAATCCAATCATCCTGCCTTAGAAACACAAGCAGCTGCAGGAACATAAGCTGTTCATGTTGATACATTTTATACCCTATTAATATCCTCTGTAATGCCATTCATCCACTTGTTCTGTACCCCCTCACCCAAAGAGAATAATGTATAGGTCTGTGCAAAAGCATGGTAATTTAGCCTTTGAGAATGTAAGGAGTGACCGTGTGAAATGCCTCCCTAGGTGTCAGACCAAAATAAAGTGTGTGAAAATGAACTTTGGAGAGTTAATTTTTCATCTTCCCTCAACAGTGAAGAAAAACCTAAGATATATAAAAAATTCGTGTTAGAATCATTAATCTTACCTTTTCGTCATATTCAACAACATTTATTACATATATATATATATATATATATATATATATATATATATATATATATATATATATATATATATATATATATATATATATATATATATAATATAAAAAAGGGGGTGGTAAACACTGGTGATATGAGTGAGCACTCATACGTATTCAGAGTTAAATGACAAGTTTTTCTCTGAATGCTCTGTGTTCTCTTCTTTGAGGCTGTGGGTCCCTACAACTGCACCAGAGGTGGTACCCCATATATTATATTATATTATATATATATATATATATATATATATATATATATATATATATATATATATATATATATATATATATATATATATATATATATATATATATATATATATATATATATATATATATATATATATATATATATATATATATATATATATATATATATATATATATATATATATATATATATATATATATATATATATATATATGTTTATTATGGAAAATAGTAGTACCAGCGAAGAATACACACCTATCACTTATTTTCCATACTTGCAAAGGTTTTGTAGATAATACTCCATCAGTACTAAAGTCAAAAACTAAAAATATATAAGTTAAAAAGATTTCCATACATATATAAATCAGTACTGTATTAATTCAATGTCCAAAACAATAAAATAAACCGTCTCAAAAGACCATAGACCCCTTACAGACTTCGTGCGGAAGATGAAATTAACACACGAACAATGAAGTACTTTATACTGTCATTAGTAAAGAAAATGCTAATAATTTAAAATATACCTAGACAATCTTTAAATTTCTGTACTATGGCTGAGCTGAATCCCTTTCCAGGTACTACTGAAAGAGATCCTTTACACTTGGAATATATCAGATCCGAGATCACTTGTCAAGTGCTGCAGCTGTGATGTTCGATGCTTAAGGAACACTTAATGATATGCTAAGGATTGCATCTATGAACATATGGGACTCTAACCATACCAGTTTGCTCCTTAGGCATGTTGTATCCTGTGCAATGGGTTATCATTTGCAAACCAGGAGTCACCTTTTCATTTTGTGATTTCACAATACAGTACTCGCTTCCAGGGCCAGGAATCATCAAGCATTTAAGCATCCACTTACAAGATCTGTGAGCATATCCTTGCTTAACATCTTGGAATCAATTCATATCTTATTTACTCATTAATTTCATCTTCTGTACATAGATTGTTAGGACTTTATATTTTTTATGATGTATTTATTTTTTTTTTTTTTGGGCAATTTCTTTCCATGGTAAATTTGTTTAGCACTGATGAAGTAGTCTCTCTAAAATGTATATGTCATGAAAATAATAATGATGTACAGGTAAATACTTTCCCCCTGTACTACTGTTTGTTCATATTTGTGTGCGTGTGTGTGTGTGTGTATTTATATTATTATATATATATATATATATATATATATATATATATATATATATATATATATATATATATATATATATATATATATATATATGTATATGTATACATACACATTATACAACTACATATACAGAATATTGTGTTTGCAACAGTGAAGATGGAAGTAGCGATGTGTACAATACTTGAAGGCCAAGAACATTTACACCAGCTTGTAAAATGCATCGTTCACACATCTTAAGCAACAACAAACGGGAGAGGGAAAATACCATTCGGAGAACTGGACGATCAGACAAGAGTAATGTTCACTTCCACATTTCAAAACTGTAGTTTCATGTGTTCGATCAACAAAATCACAGAGTTAGGCGTTTTTTTTTTTTTTTATCTCCAATGCCGGTTATATAGTCACGATGCAGAATGTACAGCATAAAAAACAAAAATAGAATGACTTATTCTTGTTTCCATTATTGGAGCAGCTGAAAATCTGTGAAACACTGAACACAATGTCCCTAAAATGAAATAGGATGTTTTGAGTCATACTCAAAGCTTTAGTGTTCATTTGAGGGGTGTTTTTTGCAGAAATAGGACAAGTTTTTATGAGGTTCTAAGCTAGAGATTTGCCCATCTAGCAAGCACCCATTAAAAAGGCAATTCATTTGTACACAACACTCCACAGATGGACTCAGACATTGAGAGAGATTTGTCACTGTTATTCAATACTAATTAGCACACAAATGAATCTTATCACTGAGGGGCACTGAAAATTCTAGGAGCAATGGTAATTTTATATTAATGGTGAGGAATAAACAATTACAAATAATATTCAAAATATAAAAACTTCAGTTGTCTTGCATATATATATATCTGCCCTTCTTCAAAGATATAGAATGCATTCCAACCACTGTTCAAATTCATCCTTTTGGACCCCAACCTACACTGTTGTAGGCTTCTAAGTCTCTGAAAATATGTATAAAACACTGACGAAGTATATTCTAAAAAGGATAAAAAAGACTTACAACAACTGGTAACAAGGTGATTGTCCAAACTAATAACAACACCATTATTAAAGACACGTAATGATCTTGTTCTCAGAATTGAAAAATCATGGACACAAACCCTAAACAAATTGCATCCTCTAAGAAACTATTGATTGCTACAGTCGTTGGTTATCACAACAAGTTGCCACCTAAACCAGAGCAAGGAAGCTTACAAACTCATTCTCTTACACATGTGACCAAAAGGTCAATATACACTAGATGGTCAATTTGTTAAATAACTTTACCCCCAGCCATAAAGCTAACAATCAACTTTTTCACTCAAATGATCAATAGGAAAAGAACATAAGAATTTTACAAAAATAGTAAGTAGAATAGCTGAAATATTTTCACATTTGACTTTATCCTAACAATAGAAATCTATTATTCTCTAATACTTCACTTAAAATAATTTTAAGAAAGAGGTTTCCACCCAAGTTGGACTTTCACTGAAGTGAGAATGGCTTAAAAATTGAGTCTGTGTAGGCGAGTGAAGCCATGCAGATCCATGGTGACCCCCCTCCCCTCCCCCTTGGTGCCATCCTTTGGTGCCCTCTTGGCACCCAATTGGCAGCCCCTTGGCACCCCCTTGGCACAGATGCCGGTGTGGTCAGCCCATCACCAATGAATGACAGATGCTGGCCCAAGGACTAACACGTAATATCACTCAGAGCATCAGTATCACAGCAACACGTGGGCTTCAACAACGCACGTTAGTGTACACTATGAGATGAGTGCACACCTTCTCTGTGTACATTATGACATGTATACATACACACACCTGTCTTCACCACAGACGTGTGCACCTTCTGTGTGTACATTACACGACATATATACACCTGTGTACACTACCAGATGCATGTGCATGCCTTCTGTGTATACATTACATGACATATATAGACCTGTGTACACTACCAGATGCATGTGCATGCCTTCTGTGTATACATTACAAAATGTATACACATACACACCTGTGTAAGCCACTTCTGTGTGCACACCTTCTGTGTGTGTACATTACATGACATATATATACACCTGTGTACACCACCAGATGTGTGCACACTTGTGTGTACACAGTGGAATCTCAGTTATTGAATTTTCTGAGAACGTTTAACAGCATACCTCATTCATCAGAGTTCTCGGCTTTGTGTTCAACACACTAAAACAATTTCTTATAAAAACATGGGTGATCAAAATGTCCTAATTCTGTAGCACAAATGACTTAATTGTTATTGTCCAAACAACCAAGAAACCACTGAACAAACCTCACTATAATCAATATGTATGGCATACATATACACAGTGACCAATAAAACAAACTATAGTATGTAAGTATATATATATATATATGTGTGTACTGTATGTATGTATGTATATATATATATATATATATGCTCCAATTGGTACAAGATGAATTGGAAGGAGCATAAAAAAAACTAGCAACCATGTAAATGTCTGGCAAATCGAGCCGCTGATGACTTGCACGTGCAGTACTGTACAGTGACTAAAACACTCGGGCAGTCGTTATTTCTCGCCGTACAAGACTGAATGCAGACGAGCGTCGCATTATACAAGGTGGATAAAATATCCTTTATAAATACAATAACATTGCAAAAGTCGAGTCTCTAGCGTGACTAAAGACCGCGTAGTGTTTCTGACTAAAATACTCTTGTGGGAGAGATAGATAGATAGATAGAATATCCAGCAACACTTGGAGGGAGCAATGATGCAACAAGAAATAGACAGCAGCAAGAATAATGAATGGTCAAGACAGTAGTCTCACGTTGCCTGGGTTACTTCTTCACATGGAGTGTTGGACTCGTTCGACTACGACGGACCCCCAATCAAGGCCGGTGGAATCTGTTGGAAAATATTTTTGACAATTACTAAATGGGGGAAAAAATATGTTTACTTCAAATGTACTCACCAAGTTGTACTTGCAGGGGTTGAGCTGAGGCTCTTTGGTCCTGCTGAATGGGTGGGTGAATGTGAATGAATTATGTTCCCTACATACAAGAATGCAATAGGGGCGAGAAAGGGATAGAGACGGGATAGAAGAGAGGTAGAGAGGGGGTAGAGGGGGAGGGTAGAAGGGTGGGGTAGAGGGGCAGGGGTAGAAGGGTAGGGGGTAGAAGGGTAGGGGGTAGAAGGGTAGGGGGTAGAAGGGTAGGGGGTAGAAGGGTAGGGGGTAGAAGGGTAGGGGGTAGAAGGGTAGGGGGTAGAAGGGTAGGGGGGTAGAAGGGTAGGGGGGTAGAAGGGTAGGGAGTAGAAGGGTAGGGGGTAGAAGGGTAGGGGGTAGAAGGGTAGGGGGTAGAAGGGTAGGGGGTAGAAGGGTAGGGGGTAGAAGGGTAGGGGGTAGAAGGGTAGGGGGTAGAAGGGTAGGGGGTAGAAGGGTAGGGGGTAGAAGGGTAGGGGGTAGAAGGGTAGGGGGTAGAAGGGTAGGGGGTAGAAGGGTAGGGGTAGAAGGGTAGGGGGTAGAAGGGTAGGGGGTAGAAGGGTAGGGGGTAGAAGGGTAGGGGGTAGAAGGGTAGGGGGTAGAAGGGTAGGGGGTAGAAGGGTGGGGGTAGAAGGGTGGGGGGTAGAAGGGTGGGGGTAAAAGGGTGGGGGTAGAAGGGTGGGAATAGAAGGGTGGGAATAGAAGGGTGGGGGTAGAAGGGTGGGAATAGAAGGGTGGGGGTAGAAGGGTGGGGTAGAAGGATGAGGTACATGATGACTATGCACCACCAGTTATCTTATCTGATGTGTTAAGTTCCTCCTTCAGGGAGACTCCAGCCCTGTTATTGACAATATATGTATTGTGACAATAAAATAACACTCGCATGGTAAGTCTACAAGAAAATTTGTCAAGTTCTTCAATGGAATCTAACTCACATTCTGGGTCACCCTAAAAAGCATGCATTATCCATTAGACCACAAAAAGCTTAAAAAGCAACATAATCTGAATTCCACCTGAACATTCAGAGAGTTTTGAGGCCCCCATGCTGGCACACAAATCCAATGTCTTGTTGCTTTTAAGACACTTGTGGTGGAATGGGTAATGCATGCCTCTAGGGTGATCCAGGATGCAAGTTTGATTCCACACACTGCTACAAAAATTCTCTCATTGTGACTTGGTCATGTACTGACACCAGAGAGGAGGAAATGTGACCCAACCTGTAGAGATGGGCGCAAATCTCATGACCCATACCTATAAACCAGTAACGCAGACTACAAAGCAGCGGCTGGAGCAGAGAGTGGTGATCGGTTGCGTGAACACCCATCCAGACAAGCAGCAAGCAATAGAGGCAGTCTCTACTGCAACATCAATGGTGCTCTCACAGATTTGCTAACAGATTTTATTCTAACGTCTGAGCACCATTTGGGCCTGTATTTAACAGTGATGTTCACAATGAGCGTGTATCCAAATAGTGCAGTACCACACCTAATGACTCTGTATTCAGTGTATGCAAACTCTTAGTTAAGGGTTCACATATATATTGTAAATGAAATATTAATCACACTAATGCAGATGATGTTAATGTAAATAATGTGGCAATCTGTGTACACTGCACATTCATCAATGTGATGTCTACCTACCTACCTACCTTGAGTAGCTTCCGGGGATTAACAGCCCCACGGCCCGGTCTCCCGGTTGATCATCTGGTCAACCAGACTGTTGGGCATGGCTGCTCGCAGCCCATCGTATGAATTACAGCCTGGTTGACCAGTGATGATACAGTTTATATGTCTATATGCAAGGTTTCAAACCCTTCTCATTTGCAAGACTTCAACTTCACAGATGATGGTTAGTCAGTCATTCAAACTTTTTCTAGCAGTTATCAAGACAAAAGCTTGTCATATACATACCTTTATTTATGAAGTACTCTTGTCCCTCGATTTTACATCGTTCTGATTTATGTTATTTCAATTGGTCATTTTGATTTAAATCCATATTTCCAGAATGCATCTTTTACATAGAGGAAAGTTAGTAAGTGCATTGCCAAACCCTTAAGTTAATAACATACCGAGTGAGATGCTTGGATTCTTCATGAACCTCCATCTCCATACTCTTGAAGTCATTGAGTTCTTTCCTAATGGCCGCTTTATCCCGCGGAGTTAGACGCGTCCATGGCTTGTCAGCACGACGGTCATACTCGTGCGCCTGAGTCACCTCTATATAGTCATTGAAGCGTATGATCTGTAAAAGCATAAATTATGGTGTGAATAAGTCACAATAATGTGGCTGAAAATTAATATACAATCCACACAGGTAAAGGAGGAAAATAATGATAGTTTGATGGGGCGTCATCATCAGGGGCGACCAGCCCCTGATGATGTTACAGCGTACCTTGTCCACGTCCCCCACAGCCAAAGTGGAATTTGGTATTTATTTTTACATAAATTTCCTTCCCTGAACATGTCTATCATTTCACAAAGAAAAAACATTTTTTGGAAACACTTTATTTCATGCACACGGGGAATGTCACAATAAACTCGGCACATCACAGTGGTTAACGATGGAATTTTGTTTTTAGTTATGAAATATTGTATAAGAAAATGTTAAAGTGCACTTTGTTGCTCCCAGTGTAATAACCCTACCTGCTCCTCCCTTACTCAACACTGCTTGCAGAATCACTGTGACCCCTCACTGACCTACCCACTAATATCAAAACTGAGATATTAAATGAGGGGGGGGGGGGGGGCAACAAATGAAGGGTTTATTAATTTAAAGACCATGAATAAAACCTTAATTGTACACTGCCACCACCTTCCCGGGTCTCGAATGTGTCTAGATTACTCATCTCCCAGGAAGGACAGAAATCAATAATCGTGAACTCAGAGGGCATATGAAACTTGGTAATATTGCTTGGGGAATTAATTATATAAATCTTTTAATTTACTTAGTGAGAATAGAGGGACTTCCAATACAGCACATAGCTATGGGCACATACACAATCTGAGTCAAGAACATAAATATGTAACAACAAATAAAATAATGAAGGAACGTTGATTAAACACGTATGCAAATATTACAGTAAAAATGCTCACCAATGCATGACTGTCTAATATGTCCTCCTTAGCAAGTTCAAGTTCTGGCCAAGTGTGCCCTCTCCAACAAGTGAAATTCCTAACCATTCTTGACATACCTGTCAAGAAATTCCTAGCCTAGCCATTAAAAAAAAAAACAAGCTGCTTCATATTGACATGAGGAGAAAAAAAATAGCAAAGGCCCAGGAGATGAGAGTAAAGAGCGAGGGAAAAATGGATGCGGAGAATAACAGGGACATGTTATCAACCACGAGAAAGATATTAGTAGCACATCTGGAGAAAAGACTTCACATCATCAACTTGAATAAATTCTATGAGCAGGTTACATAGATCTGACACAAAGAACAACTGAATATTTTTTGACTGTTGGAAAGCTTCGGCACAGGGCAATAAAGATGTCACAAGATGTCCTCACACAAGACGAGTAAAGATGTCAAGAAATAGGAGTAACTGGGAAGGTGTTCCAATGAATAAGTGAGTACCTAACCAACAAAATGCCTATAAGATGAGAGATTTGAGAGTGGCAAGATATTACCAGCAGAGTTCCACGATGGTTAGTATCAAGACCTATCTGGTTTCTGAGCAATGTAAATTATTTCTAGCAGGAATAGACTCCTTCCACTCAAATCTTTTTTTAATAATATACAAATTTTTTGGAAAAATATGCTGGAAGACTACAAGAAACCAGAGGATGGCATGGACAAATTGTAGGAATGAAATGACGATGGAGAGTTTGACCCAAGCGAAGAGTAATCAAGCTGGGTGCTATGAATTGGAGGCTGGACACTAAGTATCACATGGAAAAGGAAACTATCCTAGACGACAGAGAAAAACCATTTTGGGAGGTGTAAGTCACACTGAACCTGTCTCCTGAAGTTGACCAGACCACACACTAGAAGGTGAAGGGACGACGACGTTTCGGTCCGTCCTGGACCATTCTCAAGTCGATTGTGAGAATGGTCCACAATCGACTTGAGAATGGTCCAGGACGGACCGAAACGTCGTCGTCCCTTCACCTTCAAGTGTGTGGTCTGGTCAACTTACATTAGCCACATTATTGTGATTCATTGCCTGCACTGTCTCCTGAAGTATACATCAAACTGACATCATCACCTGCATACACATCTGCATCTGACCAAAGAGCCAGAGCTCAATCCCCACAAGCACAACTAGGTGCTTGCAATGCTTGCAACAGAACTGACTATAAAAAATAAGTAATTACTCACGATCCTTCAGACCACTAATATAAGATTCATTCTGGAATATGTGGCAGCAGTATGACGTCCCAATTTATTGAACAACAAGTTTAAATAGAGTCACAAAGTATGCTAATAGACTAATTTTAGAGCAAAGAGGTAGGAGTTGCAAGGAAAGGCCAAAGAAATTAAATATCACTCAGGGTAACCACAGTTACCACATACTGTGCAAAATTCTCTGTGGAAAAGACAGGGCATACATGGAAAACAATTTTGAATGGGTGGTACAATACTGGAGTGAGGGGGAAATGCTGTGAGGGGTACTGGAGTGAGGGGGAAATGCCGTGAGGGGGAAATGATGTGAGGGGTACTGGAGTGAGGGGAGAAATGCCGTGAGGGGGAAATGCCATGAGGGGTACTGGAGAGGAGAAATGCCGTGAGGGGTACTGGAGTGAGGGGGGAAATGCCGTGAGGGGTACTGGAGTGACGGTACTGGGGTGAGGGGGGGGGGAAATGACATGAGGGGTACTGGGGTGAGAAGGGGGAGGAAATGCCGTGAGGGGTACTGGGGTGAGGGGGAGGGGGAAATGATGTGAGGGGTACTGGGGTGAGGAGGGGGGGGAAATGCCGTGAGGGGTACTGGGGTGAGGGGGAAATGCTGTGAGGGGTACTGGGGTGAGGGGGGAAATGCCATGAGGGGGTACTGGAGTGAGGGGGGAAAATGCTATGAGGGGGTACTGGAGTGAGTGGGAAATGATGTGAGGGGTACTGGAATGAGGGGAAAATGCAGTCAGGGGTACTGGAGAGGGAAAATGCTATGAGGGGTACTGGAGTGAGGGGGAAATGCCGTGAAGGGTACTGGAGTGAGGGGGAAATGCTGTGAGGGATACTGGAGTGAGGGGGAAATGCCATGGGGAGGGGTAATGAAGTGAGGGGGAGGTGCCATGGGGGTACTAGAGTGAGGGGGAAATGACATGGGGGTACTAGAGTGAGGGGGAAATGACATGGGGGTACTAGAGTGAGGGGGAAATGCTACGGGGGTACCGGAGTGAGCAGGGAAATGCCACTGAGGGGGGGGTACTGAAGTGAGGGAGGGGGGGGGGGGAGAATGCCATCGGACATAGACAAGGACACAATCTATAGTACTGTATCATCCTTTGCAGATGACACTTGGATTTTCATGAGTAGACAACATGCAGGACACGGCAAACCTCCAATCAGATGTAAATCAAGCCTTTCTATGGGCTACAGAAAATAATGTGGTGTTCAATGAAGATAAGTTCCAGCTCATGCGCTACGGAAAAAAGGAAAATATAAAAACAGAAACCATGTACAAAACTCAGTCAAATCATAGCATAGAACGAAAAAGCAATGTAAAGGATTTGGGTGTACTCATGTCTGAAGACTGTACCTTCAAAGAACACAATAAAGTAGCCGTCACAACTGGAAGAAAAATGACAGGTTGGACAACAAGAACCTTTCACACTAGAGATGCTATAAAATAATGATGCTTTTCAAGACGCTAGTGTTCTCTAGAGTGGGGTACTGCTGCACAATGACAGCCCCTTTCAAAGCTGGAGAAATTGCTGACCTGGAGAGTGTGCAGAGATCCTTTACTGCTGGAATCCACTCAGTAAAACATCTAAACTATTGGGACCGACTAAAGAGCCTAAACCTGTATTCTCTTGAGCGCAGGTGGGAGAAATACATAATCATTTATACGTGGAAAATATTAGAGGGGCTGGTCCCAAACCTGCACACACAAATAACATCACATGAGACCAGGAGGCATGGCAGGATGTGCATGGCAACGGGTATCCCCCGTTGAAAAGCAGAGGTGTAACAGGTACTCTGAGAGAGAACTCTATCAACATCAAGGGCCCGAGACTGTTCAACACGCTTCCACTACACATAAGGGACATAACTGGCCGACCCCCTCACAGTGTTCAAGAGAGAACTGGATAAGCACCTCCAAAGGATACCTGATCAACCAGGCTGTGATTCGTACATCAGCTGCATCCAACAGCCTGGTTGACCAGTCCAGCAACTAGGAGGCCTGGTCAACGACCGGGCCACGGGGATGCTAAGTTCTGGAAGCACCGCAAGGTAACCTCAAGGTAAGGGAGGAGGGGTACTGGAGCGAGGGGGGAATGCTACGGGGGTGCCGGAGTGAGGGGGAAATGTTACGTGGGTACCGGAGTGAGGGGGAAATGCTACGTGGGTACCGGAGTGAGGGGAAAATGCTACGTAGGTACTGCAGTGAGGGGTAAATGCCATAGGTGAATGGGGGGGGGGGGTACAGGAGTACTCACCTAATTGTGCTTGCGGGGGTTGAGCTTTGGCTCTTTGGTCCCGCCTCTCAACTGTCAATCAACTGGTGTACAGATTCCTGAGCCTACTGGGCTCTATCGTATCTACATTTGAAACCGTGTATGGAGTCAGCCTCCACCACATCACTGCCTAATGCATTCCATCCGTTAACTACTCTGACACTGAAAAAATTCTTTCTAACGTCTCTGTGGCTCATCTGGGTACTAAGTTTCCACCTGTGTCCCCTCGTGTCCCACCCGTGCTGAAGAGTTTGTCTTTGTCCACCCTGTCAATTCCCCTGAGAATTTTGTAGGTGGTTATCATGTCTCCCCTTACTCTTCTGTTTTCCAGGGATTAAGGGTTAAGCTCCTTTAGCCTTTCCTCATAGCTCATACCTCTCGGTTCCGGAACAAGCCTGGTGGCATACCGCTGAATCTTCTCTAACTTTGTCTTGTGTTTAACTAGGTATGGACTCCAGGCTGGAGCTGCATATTCCAGGATTGGTCTTACATAAGTAGTATACAGGGTCCTGAATGATTCCTTACACAAGTTTCTAACGGCAGTTCTTATGTTGGCCAGTCTAGCATATGCCGCTGATGATATTCTTTTGATGTGGGCCTCTGGGGACAGGTTCAGTGTGATA